CTGTCTTTTGCCTCTTTTTGTATCCCCAGTGCTTAGCATAGTTCCTGGAACATAGTAGGTACCTTATTGTGAGTGTGTGTGTGTGTGTGTGTGTGTGTGTGTGTATACATATCATTCCCCTGATAGAAGGTAAGTTCTGTAAGGGCAGGAACTAATTTTTGTCTTTGTTCCCTCAGAACTGGGCAGCTAGGTGGCTCAGTGGGTCAAGCACTGAACCTGGAGTCAGGAAGAGTCCAAAAATGTCCCCAGACACTTACTCGCGGTGTCATCCTGGACAAGTCACTTAACCCTGTTTGCCTCAGTTTCCTCATCTGTAAAATGAGCAGGAGAAGAAAATGGCAAGCCACTCTAGTAATCTCTGCCAAGAAAACCCCCCAAATAGGGTCACAGTCAGACACAACTGAACAACACCAATTCTCAGAGCCTGGGGCACACAGTAGGTACTTGAATGCTTTTTGATTAAGTTGAACTTTCTGAAAATCAAAGGAAGTCCCATTTGCACATATACTTATTAAACGGTTCTATCACTACTTATTTGGATTAACATAAAGTCAGCTCAACATGTACCCTGTTCCTTTTCTCCCTCATCTATACTAGAAGGGTATAATTAGTTTCCATATAATTAGTTTCCTTTGTAATCCTATGTATTTTGTTTTATGCATTTAAAAACATGATCCTGAGAAGAGATCCATACATAGACTTCACCAGAATGTCAGAGGGATCCATAACACAAAACAGACCAAGAATCCTCATTTTAGATGAAGATATACCTAGTCCCTTATTTCTTTTTTTAAAAATTATTTATTTATTTATTTTTAGTTTTCAACAATCACTTCCATAAGATTTCAAGTCTTAAAGTTTCTCCCCCTTTCTCTCTTCCCCCCTCCCCAAGATGGCATGCAATCTGATCTAGGCTCTACTTATACATTCATATTAAGCATATATTCCCATTAGTCATGATGTAAAGAATTAGAATTAATGGGAGGAACCATTAGAATGAAGAAACAAAAAAAAAAAGAGAGCAAATAGTGTGCTTCAATCTGCATTCAGACTCCATAGTTCTGTCTCTGGATGTGGATATCACTTTTCCATAATTTCTTAGGTTTATTTTTCCCTGAGATAAGATCCACAAATCTAATCTCAGTGCAGAGTAGTACTCTGAAGGTTGTTACTATTCAGAAATCCTACTCTTGTCATCTGTAGCAAAATTTATAGCTCCCTTAATATTTGAACTTTCTTTTTTTTCTTTATAGGCAACCAGAGTTAAGTGACTTGCCCAGGGTCACACAGCTAGTAAGTGTCAAGTGTTTGGTCTGAGGTCAGATTTGAACTCAGGTGCTTCTGACTGTAGGGCCGGTGCTCTATGCACTGCGCCACCTAGCTGCCCCCAATATTTGAACTTTTTAAAGTTTAAAGTATTATTCCTTTCCTTCAGTTCAAGACAATTTAAAATAATTCAGTCACACAATTAATTTTCCCTCTTCCTAGCCTCTATTCCTACCCATCAGTCCCTATGATTTAACTTTTTTTTAATATTTTAATTTATTAAATGAATTAAAGACAAAATAATTTTTCATGCAAAATGTAAGAATAAGCAACCCTCCACTCTTGAAATAAAATATCTGTAAATTAGTTCTGGATAATTTAAATACGTTCATTGTTGTTGTTGGGTTATTTCAGTCATATCTGACTCTTCATGATCCCATTTGGGATTTTTGTGGCATAGATACTGTAGTAATTTCCTATTTCCTTCTCCAGTTCATTTTACAGATGGAACTAAGGCAAGCAGAGTAAGTGACTTGGTCAGGGTCACAAAGCTAGTAAGTATCTGAGGTCAGGTTTGAAATCAGGAAGATGAGTTCTCCTGATTCAGGCCCAGGTCTCTATTCACTGATGCGTCAAGGTGAATATGTTACAGAATCCCAATCCTCAAAACACTCTATTTGCTTGCCAAAGAGAGCACAATTAAGCTCTAAAACTTATGACTCAGAATTTCACTAGAGAGACATCTCTATGTACCATTACCTATGATTTAACTTGAGGGGCCCTGAAAGGCTCTCTGGCTCATAGAGATCTTCCCATTGGCCTACCAAGATGCTTGACATTTCACTGTTGGAATTGAATTAGCTTATCTCTAAGAGCCCTTCCAGCTCTAAGATGTTATGATTTTAAAATAGTTCTTTGGGACAAGACTGGTATTCCTTGTTAAAACAGTAATAATCCTTAGAGAATATTAATCTACCAGCTATCTGAACACCATTAAGATGGTTACTTTCTCAGAAAACTCTGTTTATCAAGCAATTAACTTACCTTGGAAAAGAGAGTTTGCAAGATCCAAAGGAAATAGGATGACTGTATGCTCTTGGACTAGCTATTTTTTAATTCTTTGGCCTGAGGGCCTAACCTATTCATAATCTATAAAATGGGAGGTCTGGACTAGATGCTCCTTAAAATCCCTTTCAGCTCAAAATTCAATGGACAGAAGACAAAAGTTTTGTTGGAGATAGGAGGCCAAGGTACAGGATCCCTGAGTACAGTAGGGCCAAACGTGGCACTTCCATGTTGTATCAGGGTACCCTGGCACTGGGCACTTGGAGGGAGCAACCAAGCAAGGGAGAAAACTGTACAGAAAAAGTAAGTATGACAGTAAACAGGCAAGCTTTGTCCAGCCTATTACACAGTTCAAGTTAACAAATATTCATTAATATTTCTAAGTGCACTGTCATAAGTGACAGAGGGAATATTTTAAAAGTAAATGACATTGTTCCTGCCCCTGAAGAGTTTAGCATCTGATCAGGAAGATAATGAAACTGAACACTTACTGAGGCCTAACATGTGCAATGTAAATCTCTGTATCAATCATAGCTCCAGGTGATATCCCTCTAGGCAGAGCATTGTGCTAGGCTCAGGAAAGGATGGAAGGAAACAAGCATTTATTAAGCACCTATATGGTAGGCACTGAGCTAAGCACTTTACTGTAGCATCTCATTTAATCTTCACAACAATCCTGGGAGGTAAGTCCCCATTTTACAATCGAGGAAACTGAGGCAGGCAAAGGTTAAGTGACTTGCCCAAGGGTCACACAGCTAGTATCTGAGGTCAAATTTGAACTCAGATCTTCCTGACTCTAGGCCCAACATTTTATTCACTGAACCACCTAGTTCCCTACTGGTGAGACTGAGCCTGGTAGATTGCTTGAGCTCTGGAGTTCTGAGCTAAAAAAGGGCTCAAGTTGATTGGGCATTTGCACTGTGGGTGGGCCCCTGGTAGCAGGGTGCCAACATGCTGCCTAAAGGGGGTGAAGCAGTCCAGACTGGAAACAGAGTTGGTCAAGGCTTCCATAGCCCTCTCTCACTTAAATCCAATTCGCCTGGAATTCATGATATCACCTTCCTGATGGCATAGTCCTCTTCTAAAAGGAAGGACAAACAACAACGGCAGTGAAATAGGGCCAGTGCACTTCCAATCAGGGATGGGGAGGCCTAATCTCCTCTCCTCCCAAAAAATTGGGTAAAATTTTAATGGATATCAACAGAAGAAGATATTTCATGTGAAAGAAATGGTGTTGCCTAGGATATAACTGAGACAGTAAATTTTAAAAGTAGTTCAGTTTGGAGGCAGGTGGCTCAGTGGATAGAGCACTGGCCCTGAAGTCAGGAGGACTTGAGTTCAAATCCTGCCTCAGACCAAACATTTGACACTTACTAGCTGTGTGACCCTGGGCACTTAACCCCAACTGCCTTTAAAAAAAAAAAGTAGTTCAGTTTGGCAGGCCTGTGACACAAAATAGATGCTAGAACAGTGACCTCCCGCTATAGATACAAAATATACAGTCAGTGGAACATTTAAATGCAATAATTAATATATTCTGATGTGGCTTTATGGGCTTCAAAGCATCTTAACAAAGATATTGGGTTTTAAGGATTATGGAATCACAGATTTAGAAGTGGCAGGGACCTGAGAGGCCAGAGAATCCTACCCCTTCATTTTACAGAAGAAAATTGCTGAGCACTGCGCTGGGCAATGGTGGGAGTAGGGAGATACAGAGAGGAATGGAGCTGGGCAGGAAAAAGAAAAGGGAAAGGGGAGGAAGGAGAGAAAGGGGGAAGATGGGAAGAGGGAAGAAGGGAAGGGGAAAAGAGGGAAGGAGAGAGACGTAGGAGGGAGAGGGCAAAAGGAAGGGAAGGACTGTTTCAGGTGCTGGTGAGAGTGGAGAGATACAAAGTATAGAGGAGGAGGAGGAGAGGAGAGGGGAGGAGGAGAGCAGTGGAGAAGAGAGGAGAGGAGGAGGAGAGGAGTGGGGAGGAGGAGAGGGGAGGGGAGGAGGAGAGGAGGGGGGAGGAGAGGAAGAGAGGTCCCAGTCGTCACAGAGCTTACAGTCCTGAGGGGAAACTAACGACCCAATACAGAATCCCACCAAAAGCCTCAGGGGGGGGCTCACACGACACCCCCCGGTCTCCCCACGCACACGCGGATAGGAGCCACACAAGGGCCCCAGGCTCCAGCCCAGGTGCGCAGCTGTCCAAAACTATCACTCCCTAGGTTCCCCACCACTACCACGGAGCCTCCCCCGGGCTGGCGGGCCGCCCTACTGGATAGCCCCAGGCAGCAGAAAAAGGGTGTAATGGGCAGCCGGTGCTGGGGGCTGTGGGCAGCTGCAACACCTAAGGGGAGGCGGGGACCTGAGGCCCGTCCCGTCTATCCTTAAAAAGGAAGTTGGGGCGGGTCCCACCATTCCAGACAGTGGCGGGGCGCCTCAGAGCATCGCCCTTTTCAGAGCGGTCCGAAGGGGCCTGACAACCTGGGCGGGCTCCCGGCCCACGCTCTCTCCAGTCCCCAGACCCTGGGTTGGGGGCTCGCCCAGGCCCCCGGACTCTTTCGCAGCGAGGGCGCCCCAGCTGGGACCGGCTGGCTGAGGCGGCCGAGCAGGGATCTGGTGGGGCGGAACCCCACGCGGGAGGGACGGACGGACAGACGGGGGGAGGGGCGAGGGAGGGGCCTAGGACGGGGGCGGAGCCCAGGCTGCAAGCGCCAGTGACCGGGAGCCCGGCTCAGCGGCCAAGCCGAGTGGCCGGAGAGGAGTGGAGCGGAGCTCGGACGGGGAGCAGAGGGAACGCAGAGCTGCGCGCAGGTACGACCCCCGCTGCCCCCGGCCCGCTCCCTCGGGAATCCCGTTAGATCACTTTCCTAGAGCGCCCCGCAGCCGCCCCACCCCCAAGCTGGGCTCCGGAGCCTCGCTCCTCATCGAACTCTTTCGGGGGACCCCCACCTCCTCGGGTAAAGGATTCCCACCCCTCCCCATCCATGGTTGGATTCAGCGTCCCCACCGTAATGCACGCACAGCGCCCCTTCTTTCCATCCTCTCTCCAGTCAGGGACAATTCTGTTCCCCCCAATTCTGGCGTACCAGGTCCCACTTGGAACTCTGGCTCTGAGGAATTGATGGGGGGCGGGACGGGAAGGAATGCAGGTGGATGGCAATCTTTGATTTGGCCTCAGACCCCTGAGAGTGGGAGACACGACTGGCACCCTGGATAAACAGCTGAGACTCCAACGTGAAGGGAAAAGGGAGCAAAAGGGGAAGGGTATTCAAGAAAATTGTACTTTAAAATGCTTTCTCCTCCCACCCCCATCAACACATTTTCCATCCCAGCATCTCCAAAAAAAACCTTAGGAGGAAGTACAAGGGTGAAAGGGTTGTTCTTCTCCAAGTTTCTGGTTTGCTCTTTGATCTCCACTAGACTGGGAAGGGGGGTGTGGCCATAAACAGCTCAGGTCAGTTTGGGATGGTCAGATTGCAGTGTCCATTCTTTAATCAGGGAAACTTCTGACCTCTGCTAACCCCCAGGTTGGGTAGATAGGTACCAAGTGACTACCAGGACTGAGGGGAATAAAGAGTGTTTGACAGGAGTACAGACTGCCTCTATATCTGTCTCTGTCTCTCTCAGCAAGGGGAGGGTAGAGAGGTATCGGCCCCCTGCCCAGCTGTGTTGGGGAGGGTGGGGCCGGGGACTTTTCCAGAGAGGGAGCCAGGCCTGGCCCAAGCCCCAGGAGCTCACGTCACCCCCACCCCCCTGGCCCCCACTTCTCTTGGGAACAGCCAGAGCCAGATCGAGCTAGGAATGGGATTATGTGTACTAAGTAGAGACCTGGGGAGTCATAAGCATGGACCTGGGGTGGCAGGGGAAAAGACACAAAGAGATCTGGGGGAAAGATAGAGAAATGGGAAGCTGACCATTCTTCCTCCAACTGGAAGGCAGTTAGGTTCTCATCGCTTTTCTACCTCAAGGTAAGGGCTCTTATCTCCTCCTTAAGTGAGCAAAGGGCTAGAAGCAGAGAAATGAACATTTATGTGAAAGTATGAAACCCTCTCTCATCCACCCTGCCTGGAACCCCACCATGGCCCCCGGCCCCATAGGCGTTGTTGCTGACCTCAGCAGGGCCAACCCAACCCCTGGGGAAAGGAGGAAGGGGCTGCCAGGCCCCAGGCAGAGATGACCCCAGCCAGTTCTGGTCTGACCAGTCAGTTCCCTCCCCCACATTTTCAAGTCAATGGGTAATTGCAGGGAGGCACAGTGAGGATGAGCACAGACCCTTTTTATGCACCTCCATCCAAAATCATTCTCTTTCATTCTTTTCCTAACCCTATGGTTGGCCCATCTCCGTCTTGGTCCCTTGGACTCCTCTCCCGGGTGCTTCTTAGCTCCAACAGAAACAACTTTTTTTTTTTCCTGGAAAGCAGAACAGAGAACAGGGGTGGGGGCCCAGGGCTCAGAGCCTAGGCAAAGGAGGGAGGTAGGGAGCAAGAAAGAGGAGCAGCAGATCTTAGGCTTCACCAGGGCTCGGAGTTTAAAGCTCTGGTTCGTCTAAACAGGATCAGGACTAGATTTTAGGTAGGACTTCCTTACTTTCCAAAAACAGCTCAGGATTTCTCATTGCAGCACCTAGCACATTACTACAGTTGGACAAACTGATGAGTGACTGAGCCTAGACAAGGGCTCCTTCGGGATTGCTTGGGCCAGTGGTTCCCATCCAGCTGGAGAAATCTGCTACTGCTACTTAAATCTTGGTTTACAGTTTGAACTGGAGGCAAGAAAAAGACAAGAGCTTTCTTATCTTTGGACCTGTAGGCAAAAGGGAAAACGGAACCAAAGGATATGAAAGTGGGAGAGCCTCTGAGAAGAGAGAACGCTTGTGGCGTGTACCCTCTCGTGGTATCTCCTGAGGTAGGGATGGAGAATGTGCACTGGAAGCAAGAGGAATCCTGATGGACAGAGCTGGGTGCTTGAGCTGGGATAGAAATACCAGAAACCAGGGATTAGGAAAGGGAGATTAATCAGGGTAGTGAGGAATTTGGTAGGGGGCAGTGGGGAGAAGCAAGATATTGGAGGTAAACTCCTCTAACCATTGGCCACTCCGAGGGGAAAAAAGAAGACAAGCAGTCCTGATCCCTCAAGACAGGGACAGAGAAGAGGAGGGGGCACTAGGTCATGTTATATCCTAATTTCTGCCTTCCACCTTGGGCGTTTTTATTGAAGGGACATAAGTCCTCCAGTTGTCCAGGGGTAACCTTTATTCCTGCCTTCTTTTCAGGTCTTTCTTCATGTCCTAAGCCCTCCAGAGTAGTGTGTTATCTCTAGACTCACACAGCTGGGGAGATTAAGGGGAACAATGGAGAAATGGACAAGCAGGTAAGAGGTAAAAATGGGAAGGGGGAAGGTGATCTCTCCTTGGGAGGTACAGGAGAAGAAAGTAGGAAGGATGGGTGAGTAAACCCCTTCTGTTTTCTGGCAAGCCACAAGACCAGATGTAGGGGGCCTGGCATTGTACCAGCTATCCCAGAAGTCTTAGTGCAGTTTGAAGCTTTAATAGCTATCGAAACTTAGGCTTTATGAAATAGATGTAAATAAATATATCTATTAAATAGATATAAATAAAATATAAGAAAGATGGTGAGCTCAATTCTAGCTACTGACTTTGATTACCTACTCTGCCTCTGGCTTCTCAGACTAAGACCGCCTCTTGTGCTGCTCCTGCTCCTTCCTCAACTCATCCTAGACCAGAAGGTCAGTGAAGGGGTTGGAAGGTTTTCTCTGCTTTCCAGCCTTTCTAGAACCCTGGCTCCCAAAGAATTTCCTAGAGCCCTTTGCTCAGCCCATATCTCTTTCCTTCCTCATGGAATCCCCCAGGTCCTTCCCTGTTTGATGCCCCAGTCTTTCCTCCCATTTCCATGCAGGTTACTGCAGTCCCTTCTTGATCTATTTCTCTTTCTCCCACATAGGTGTCCCCTCGCCACTCACGACAAACACATCCTGAGGAAAGTAAAATCCCTGAGGGTGTCTGGGGCTTCTGGAGCCCGTGGGCCCTTTGCTCCCAGCCCTGTGGGCTTGGCATACAGCGCCGGAGCCGAATCTGCCAGTCATCCACATCTGTGCTCCAAAGCGGGCTGCCTCTCCCACCCAGGCCACCTCGACATCCAGAACCCTTGCCTGCTCGATCCCGGAATGCCAGACCCCAAACCCCTAGGGAGACCCTCCCCCTCTACAAGCCAGAGCCAAGGGGGAGGGGTGGGCCTCTAGGACAAGAGGAGGCTGGAGAGACCTCGGCCTCAAGGAGGTAAGGGAAATGAGGTGGGGATTGAGGGGATATAGCTCAGTGGGCAGATAAGCTTTGCAGTAGAATAGATGAGCCTTAGAGCAAGAGGAAACTAGAAACAGGAATAGGAAATGAGGTTGATTATGAGAGTGAGGAACAGAAGAGAGTAATTCAAGATGTTAGTTATATGGGAGAAGTGGGCAGAACCGTAACTCCGTAACCATACCAACTTCCTAGGTCACGGGTTCGAGATCCCATCAAGCCAGGAATGTTTGGCTATGGGAGAGTTCCCTTTGCTCTGCCCCTGCATCGGAACCGGAGGCACCCACATGGACAGCCCCAAATGGAATTCCCCAGTGATGAGGCTTCTCAGACTCTATTTCCAGAGGCAGAGCCCCTCCAAGACTCTAAAACAGAGGATTTCCAAGCAGAACAACCTGTTAGCACTCAGCTCCCCCAAACCCAGATCTCTTCTACAGTACTGCCAACCCAGGAAGACCTTAACAGCTCCCAGAATCCTGGGACAGAAGCGCCTTCTAATACCAAGTCTCTGGGGATGCAGACACCCCCAAAGACAACCAACTCCAAAGCAAAGTCCACCCCCACCCCCTCCTCCAGAACAGGCAATTCCCTTAATCAGGTCCACCCACAGAGATCACATCATTCCCAACAAGTGGGACCGGAATGGAGAAGATCCCCCCATCCCCCCTCCTCTGCCTCCCGGGGCCAGGGCCGAGGCCAAGGTCATCAGAGAAGGAGAGAGCAGTGGGCACCCAGAAATGCCCGTCAACAGGTTGTTGAAACTCCCCCTCACCATTCAGAGAGCTGGCTGCCTTTACTTAGCTCTCACCCCAACTCAGGTCCGCTGTGGAGCCTTTTTGCTCCCAGTGCCTCAGCCCTAAACTGTCCTGGAGAGAATGAGCAACTGAGGGCCTGCATCCAGAAGGTGAGCCCTGCCTCGATCCCAGGATCTGGGCCTCTAGATACCTTCCTAATTTGTTTGCATGGAAACCAAAGCTGTGCTCCAGTCATTTGAGGGAAACTGTCCTGGAAACGAGTGAGGGATGTGACTGGGATGTAAGGTCCCAATTTATCTTATCTAGTATTGGGGGTAGAAAACTCTCATGTCTGAGCCCTAGCTCCCTCTTTTATGTCTCCGTTTTCTCAGCCCTGTCCCTGGATCTTTGTCAGGAGACCAAAGGGCATGCTCTCCTAGTTTCTGATTCCTTCTCTTCCCGCCTCAAATCACCCCCTCATCCAAAGCCCGACCGCTACCCTCTTATTGTTTTTTCCTTAGTTTTGACAATTCTGTTTCCCGCACCCTCAGCCATGCCCCCCTGAACAGCCAGATCCCTGGGCTCTGCAGTGTGCCGCCTTTGATCCTCAGGAATTTATGGGCCGACTCTACCAGTGGGAGCCCTTCACAGAGGGTGAGCATTGAAACCCAGGACCCCAAGGTTGGGGAGCCTGCACGTTGGCTTCTTTCTACCCCTGAACATCTTCGGCTTAAGCGTATTTTCTTAACTATCTCTCCTGCCTCAGTTATCCACTTCCCCTCTTTAGTTTCTCTCTTTGAGGATTCTATGCCTATGTGGGAGAGTCCCCTTCCCTACAGGATGGGGAAAGGGGATACCCTTTCACTGAATTCCTCAGTTTCCGCCTTTCCCTCCCCATCAGGCAGTCTGTGCTGTTTACTTAGCCTGAGTGGCTGGGGGAGTGTGGGGGCAGGAGGGGAGGTGGGGTATACATAGATGGCTCTTTGTGTTTCAGAGGTCCCTGCCAGGACCTATGAGGGAAGGAGGGAGGGGTGTGTGTGTGTGTGTGTGTGTGTGTGTGTGTGTGTGTGTGTGTGTGTGTGTGTTTTAGGGGAAGCTAGGTCTGTATGATGCCTAATCTTCTCGAAAAAGCCAAAGCAACTAGAAAATGATGGAATCACACCGACGGGAAATAGCCCCCTACAACTGAATGGTTTTTACTGTCGCCTCTGGCTAGGTCAGCTGTGTCCAGAGGTGGAATACATGTAACCTGAGAGAGCGGGCATGGCAGGGGGAATCTCAGCAGGTCAGGGCTGGCTTTGTAGACCCCACATGTCCTCACATGACCTCAGCTGCCCTCAACATTTCGTTGAGTGTTTCTAAAAAGTCCAAATTCATTTCTAGGCTTATTTGACCATAAGTAAAGCCAAGTGCTCGAGATATGACCTCAAATGACCGTGATTAATCTCAGGTGACCACCCCTCTCCAAAGCTCCTTTATTGGTCCCTCTGACCTAATTCCTTGACAAACTTTAAATGATTCTCCAGAATTCAGAATTGCTTTCTTTTTAGCTAGTTTCTTTGATCCATACTGACATAGGTATAGCCTTCATAGATTCTTAGCTAACTTAGGCAAATCCCTTATTGACCCCCATGACGAGTCTATGAGATATGTCTCCCCAAATGATGTTTCCCTTCATCCTACCCTCCACCCCAGTCCAGGGTTCCCAACGCTGTGAGTTGAACTGCCGACCTCGTGGCTTCCGATTCTACGTCCGTCACACAGAGAAGGTCCAAGATGGTACTCCCTGCCAGCCTGGAGCCCCAGACATCTGTGTGGCTGGACGGTGCCTGGTGAGAAGCTGATAGCCAGAGTCTGGGGTGGGTTTTGAGGACAGCCAGAGGTCCTAACTAGCACCATGCATACCTGTTCACTGGCTAAATTGGAGGCTACAGGGAGGAAGGCTGTGGGTAGAGCTAGAGAGATGAGAATCCCAAAGAGAGGGGTTTCATTTTCACAGGAGACAGAACTACAAAAGAGAAGGTTCCCATATGTACTCTGGGGAAGGCTGGAATGCAGAGAGCCATTGGGTTCTCAGCGGGATTGGCTGGAGAGTGGGAGGGGGAGGGCAGTCTCCCCCAGCGACTCACCTGTGTATTTCCGTCCCTTCTCAGAGCCCTGGCTGTGATGGCATCCTTGGGTCTGGCAGGCGCCCAGATGGTTGTGGTGTCTGTGGGGGAGATAATTCCACTTGCCACTTTGTTTCGGGGAACTTCACAGACCGAGGGGGTCTTCTGGGCTATCATAAGATTCTGCTAATCCCAGCTGGGGCCTCTCACTTACAAATTGCTCAGTTTCGACCCAGCTCCAACTACCTTGGTGAGAATTCTTCACATACTCACATACTCACACACACACAGACACACTCACACACACCCTCGTCTTCATTGCTCATACTTCTCTAAATTTTTGCATTGTTCCTCCATACACGTCCATTTCTACATCACTGAAGAAGTGGTGAAGGCAGGGTTGGGTGGGAGAAGGTAAAGGGAGAAGTGTAGTTTGACCTCGGAGCGTCAGAGTAGAAAAAAATTTGGGGAAATTGACCTTTAAATGAGTGAGGGAAGTGAAAATTTGGGAGGAATAAAATGACCTCCCTTCTTTTCATCCCTCCTACAGCACTTCGTGGTCCTGGGGGCAAGTCCATCATTAATGGGAACTGGGCTGTTGACCCCCCTGGGATCTATACTGCTGGGGGCACTGTCTTCCAGTATAATCGGCCCCCACGGGAAGAAGGGACAGGAGAGAGTCTGACGGCTGAAGGGCCCACAACACAGCCTGTGGATGTCTATGTAAGTAGGTGGTAAAGGAGGCCAACAATCACAAGAGAGAAGCGATGGGGTGAAGGGTCTTTTTGTGGCTGGAGAGGAACTGAAGCAGAATCCCTCTAATCCCTGCTCTTCCCTAGAAACACTCACCTTCTCTTACTCCCCCAGATGATCTTTCAAGAGGAAAACCCTGGTGTCTCCTACCAATACCTCATCTCTTCACCTTCTCCCAACCTTGGAGACCCTACCCCAGAACCTCCTATTCCCCAACACCTGTCTGGTGAGGGTGTGAAGCCCTGGGGAGAAGAAAGAAATAGATGGGGGAGGAGGCAGAGAGGAGAGATTTTAGAACAACCAGATCATAATGTGCCTACTCAGTTCCCCCCAGAGGGTCTAAAATTGGAGCCCCCAGCCCCTCCCCGATCAGCTCGGACCCCAGGCACTCTGCAGCGTCAGATACGGATTCCTCCTCTGCCTGCCCCACCCTACCCCAGGCCTCCCCTGGCATCCTCAGCGGGATACTGGAAACGAATGGGATATTCAGAGTGCTCAGCATCCTGTGGAAAAGGTGAGACCTCTGTCCCACAATCCAAACCTTAGCTCCTGATTCCTCAGCCTTAGTACCCCTTCCCTGGCTTTACCAACCCAGAAACCCACTCTAGGTCTTCAACCCAGCCCCCCCTCTGATGCTCCTTCTTTTTTTTCTTTTTTTAAACTTTATTAATTTATTTTGATTTATCAACAATCACTTCCATAAGCTTTTGAGTTTTAAATTTTTCTCCCTCTTCCTTCCTCCCTCCCTCCCCAAGACGGCATGCAATCTGATATAGGCTATACATATTCGTTCCTATTAAGCATATTTTCACATTAGTGATGTTACAAATAAGAATTAGAACCAATAGGAGGAACCACCAGAAAGAGGAAACAAAACACAGCAGAAGAAAAAAAATAGCAAGTAGTATGCTTCGCCCTGATGCTGTTTCTTGAACTCACTGAGACAGACCTTGTTACATCCTGGAAACCCAATCCATAGGATCCTAGCAAAACTATTCTGGCCTTAATGTGTCAGGCTAGAAGGCTCTCTAGTCTCCTTTGCTCCTTCCTTCTCCAGGTGTCTGGCGCCCAGTTTTCCGCTGTGTGTCCCGTGATTCTGGAGAGGAAATGGATGACGAAAGCTGTGTCTTAGGTGCCCGGCCACCCGCCCCACCAGAGCCATGTCACGGCCCTCCATGTCCCCCTTAGTGAGTATGGATGGCCCACGTGGTCTGTCTGACCTCACCTGGACTCTTCGTGGGTCAGGGGTCCCCAAGGCAGGAAGAGAAGAGACGGGATTCTTGGTGCTATATAGAAGGGGAAGAGGAAACATGAGCTGAGTCCTTTCCTGAACCCCCTTCACTTCCACATCTTCACTTCCACAAAGAGCAAAATGATACCAAGACTCCACATTCCTACCATGTCTCAGAGTTAGAACTCCCTCATCCCTGAGTATCTCCCACTCCACTGGTGTCTGGCTCCCCCCTCCCCCATGTCTTTGCCCTTCCTAGCCTACCTGTGTCTTCCCATGTCCATGTCCATAGCTGGGAGGCAGGTGAATGGACCTCTTGTAGCCGCTCCTGCGGCCCAGGCACCCAGCACCGCCAGCTCCGATGTCGGCAGGAGTTTGGTGGGGGCGGCTCCTCGGTGCCCCTGGAGCGCTGCAGCCATCTGCCTCGGCCCAACGTCACCCAGACTTGCCAGCTGAGGCTGTGCGGCCACTGGGAAGTACGCTCTGCCTGGAGCCAGGTGAGCCGGAAAACAGGTGAGAGGCAGGGATAGAGAGAGGAGCGAATGGGAACAGACAGAGCGCAGTGGGAAGCCAGGGAAATTGGAGGCTGGTGGGGAAGGCTAGCCTCAGAATCATGCATCTCTTAATTGATGATTTCCTCCATCTTCTCCAGTGCTCTGTTCGATGTGGTCGTGGTCAGCGGAGCCGGCAAGTGAGATGTGTGGGTAACCACGGGGATGAAGTAAGTGAACGGGAATGTACTTCGGGGCCTCCAAGACCCCCCAGCAGAGAGGCTTGTAACATGGGGCCCTGTACCATCGCCTGGTTCCACAGTGACTGGAGCTCCAAGGTAGAGACACTAATCCTGAGAGCCCACCAAAATCCAGGGCTGCCCAAACTGCTCTAAATCCAAGACCTTTTCAAACCTTTCCAAACCCAGGTCCCCCAGAAGACCCCTGACTCCAAGATTCCTCAGCAGCCTTTTCTGTATGGCCCCTTTAAACCTAAGGCCATTAGACATTCCTTACTCTGTCCAAAATCAGGCCCTTCCTTACCTAACTTCCTTTCTCTCTATTATTTTACCATCCAGTCTCTTCTCACAGGACCTTGCCTTGTATTCCAACAGTGCTCAGCTGAGTGTGGGACAGGAATCCAGTGGCGCTCTGTGATCTGCCTGGGGAGTGGAGAGTCCCAAGGGGCTGGTGAAGAGGAGGAAGGGCTAGGGGGCAAAGGAAGAAGCTGCCCCACAGGGAGCCGCCCCCCTGATATGCGGGCCTGCAGCTTGGGGCCCTGTGAGCCAACCTGGCAGTGGTACACGGGGCCGTGGGGTGAGGTGAGCGCTGGAGTCTGGGAAATCAGGCGGCAAGATGGGAGTGGTGAACAAAAAAGGGCATGCTCTTATCTTTTCGGGGGTCCCAGTGTTCTGTAGAGTGTGGCTCTGGGACACAGCGCAGAGATGTGATCTGTGTGATCAAGCTGGGAACTGAATTCAATGTTACTTCTCCTGGTAACTGCACCCATCTGCCCAGGCCACCTACCCTGCAGCCTTGCAAGGGAGATGGCTGTCAAGACCGATGGTTCTCTACCCCCTGGAGTACTGTGAGTGTCCTGACCTCTTCCCCCACCCCCCCATCAGCCCTGCCTCTACCACTGTCTCCATTGGCCTTTATTTTCTTATGAAGAAGCAATAACACCCCCCCCACCCCCCTTCCACTCTTCTTGTGTTTTTGGCTCTCTGGGAAATCCCCAGCCCTTTGAATTCCCAAGATCTTAACTCTTCCTTCAATTTCATTGTCTTTGAGGAGGGAAAGGGTAAATCCCCTTCCTTCAGACTATCCCTTCACTGTGTCCCCAGGGTTCTGTCTCTCTTCCTCCTCAGAGAGATGGGTGGGGAGCTGTGGGTTGTTGGGAGGAGTTGTGGGAGGAGAGGTCTTAATTGTTCTGTCTCTCTCCCATATCCCTTGCTCCAGTGCTCAAGGACTTGTCTGGGGGGTGTCCAAATGAGGGAGGTCCAGTGTCTGAGTGCCAACCAGACTCTCAGCACTCAATGCCCTCTTAACCTTCGGCCTTCTAGGAAAAGACCATGTAACAATCAGCCCTGTACTCAGCACCCAGGTAAGCCAGAATGGGGGGGGGGGGGGAGGTGGACAAAGGGAGGGAGGCAGATGGACCTGAGAGAAGAGAAGGACAGGAGAGGAGGAACAAGAAAGAGGGGAAAGCAATGCATCTAGGGAGGGGAGCTAAAATCAATAAATCAACATTGAGGAATGGACAGCATCACAGTGACCTCATCAGACCCACTACCTATCCCTCTGTTCCCTAGATGACCATTGCCAGGACAACTCCCCACACTGCCCCCTCGTGGTCCAGGCTCGCCTCTGCGTCTACCCCTACTACACAGCCACCTGCTGCCGATCCTGTGCCCATATCCAGGACAGGGCACCCCCAGAACCTGCCTGAGATGGGACTGAAGTGATCCTTACAGTTATTCTCCCCCCTCCCCCAGCATCAGCTGCCCCATGGACTCTATCCCCTTCCTGCCCTTGACCTGCCTCATAGGACACTCAGAGAAATACCAGCACCTTCTATATTTATCCTGGGAGGAGTCTGGGAAATGCAGAGTGACAGGTTGTGGGGAGATGGCTGTGACAATGTGTGAGGTTGTGTCCATGTACCTGTGTGATTGTATGTGTATATGTCATTATACATGTCTGTGTCCCCGGGTGCCACTGCTGGTGGGGACCATGTGACTTCCTGCTAACTAGTGCCCCTGGCCAAGACAGACTGGGATATACGAAGTGCCTTCCCCCAGCCTCCACCTCTTCCTACTGGGAGAAACCAAGACACAAGTTCATGCTGACCCTTTGAATGTTCCTCAACCAGCCCTGTTCCCTAAATCAAATTTACCTTACCATGCTACATTTTTCCATGATCTGAATCACACCTTCAGCCCTCCATCTTCACTCCCAGCACCCATTCCCTCTACTTCTGTTCCTCTTAACTTCCTGGGAACAAATGACTTTCACTGTTCTCCTTTCCATGACCTTCATCGCCTACCAGCCCAGAGAAGGGACCAGTTTAGCCAGAGTTGTAGAGACATGGAAGGGGGAAGTGCATGCTACATATTAGGATGCACTAACTCCTGGGCCCCCCTCCCCAGGATGGTTCCCACCCCAGAACTAATTTATTTTTTATTAAAGATGACTGTGATAAATAAGAAACAGGCTTCTCATTGTCCTCATGGGAACCCAGTCATCCGGGGCTCCCAGCCAGGGTGAAGTCAGGATGGCTGGAGGGTGGGGAAGGGAGCAGCTGCCTGGAGAGGGTTGAAGGCTGGATAGCTAGAAGGGTGGACCACGATACCTGGCTGACCTACCAGGCTTACTTTTGGCAATGCTAGGCTGGGAACAGAAACAGACCTCGGGCTCTGAAGAGTTTAACGTTTGGCCACTAGAGGTCGCCACTTCTCCCAATTCTAAAATTGGAAGCTGGGGTTTCTGGGTCCTGGGCTCCCACGGAAAACACCAGGCCTGGCCTGTGGGGTTTTTCTGTAGTTTCCTGAAGGGCATTAAAAAAAAAAAACCAAAACTAGCCTTTCTCTATTCTCTTTCAGTCAGGTTTTCCTCCTCTCCGTATCTGTCCCTTGGTCCACTTGCTTGGCATCCGCCCCCTCTTTCCTCCCTCTTTCCCCCACCCCCAGTTCTCTCCCCCTCCCTCCAGGCTTTGTAACTTTCCTGAAACCTACGAAGCCCTATCCAGGCAGCTAAGACCAGCGCTGAGGGCTTAGTGCCCTTCATACTTTCCTGAAAGGGGATTGGGTTGAGAAAGGGCATGATGTGGCTTGAGGGAACTTGGGGGAGGGACGGAGGGAGGGGCCAGGCCCAGTTACTGTACTGGATGTGCTGCCAAAGGCACATTCCTCAGAGTTGTCTCACCACCCTCCCCACCCCCTTCCTGCTCTCAAGGTAAATAGTTTGGGGGATGGGGAGAGAGCAGTTAGAGTTTAGCACACACCCTCTCCCCCTACTCCTGTGAATCCAGGGATCTGGGACCCCAGTTCTTGGGACTGGGGAATGCTGCAATGAAACATGCTGATAAAAAAAGATGATGAGGCCCAGAGATGACGCTCCCCTTCCCTCCACTGGGCCAAGTCTTTTTGGCCCAGCCTGCTCAGGGATGGAATCTCATCCATACATCCTAGAAACAATTTATTGAGTGTATGTTCAGCACAGTGCCAGGTATGGGGAGGGACACAAGGCATAAGACGTTGCCATTTGCTTGGCACGGAGGAGTGTCCTTCAACTTGTCCCTCAGAAACTCCCTCCGAGGGAGAACTGAGGCCTTTTCTGTGGTGGAAGTGCCTAAGGATTGGGTGTTTAGAAACTCCTAAGGAAGGTCCGAAGGAGCGAAAATGAAAACAGTTTTAGCCTGAGGTGGAGGTGAAATGAAGCAAAAACTGGGTCTCTTCACCCCTGCTTAGCCACAAAAGGAGATACCTGACAGGTGGTGCCGAATACACAACAGACATCAGAGGAGAAATTTCTTAAAGGGGGAAAAAGTAAAGCAGAAAGAGTCTCAGATAAATGGGGGTGGGGTGGAATTTGAGGGGAGGGGGACAGTAATCCTGCAGAAGTACCAGAGTCAGAGACCAGAGGGCGGGGTGAGAGGGGCTCGAGGCCCCTCCCTGCCAATTCCTGGAAGAGCTGGGCTGGGCCGGCCTGGAGATCTGGCTCAGCTGACTTCCCTTGTGTGGGGGCCGCCCCCTTCTGTGCCTTCTGAGGTTGTTGCTGGGCAGGTTTGGGTTTGGCCTAAGACGGGAACCAATCATAAGTGGGGAAAGTAAGTGCAGCCCCCTCTTAGGGCTCCCCTTTGCTCCAGCTTGCCCCCCTCCCACCCCAGCTCACCCTGTGCTGCTGGACTTTGCCTAGGGAAGAGCTGGCCTTCTGGTGTGCTGGGATAGTAGGAGGTTTGCCGACCACACACACACACACATCAGTTTTTGAGCCAGGATGCATGCAAGGGTCTCTGGTCACTTAGGGTTAGTGTAGAGGTCACCGCAGCTACATCAGGCCTTGGTGGAAGGGGAAATGCAATTCTATCTTAAGCAAGTACCCTACTTCCTTTAGTTTCGGATGGGCCTGAGAGGGAGGGGTGGTGGGAAGGGACACCATATCCTTGACCTCTGATCCTCCTCTCCCCCAAGCCTGAGAAAAAACCTGTGAGAAGAAGCTGAGTACCCCCTGGACAGATGGAGTGGAGGATCCCCAGGTATTTAGGGAAAGATTTGGAAAAAGCATCGAAATGTTCTTGGAAGTCTATGAAGGAATTTGCCAAGGCAAATTCAAATGATGGATAGGTGTTCAAAGATGATTTTTACATGTATACAGCTTGCTGTGTGCAGCTTTTCCAGTGTCTCTAGTAGGAAGGAGAGGCTGTCAGAGGGTGTGGGGGGTTGTGGTTCAAGTATATGTATAGATGTACAGGGGTGAGGCTGGAGGAGCCCAGCTAGGCAAGGATTCCCATCCCCCTCCCCCCCAGATCTCCCTTCTTCCCCTGGGTAAACACCCAGCTGGGCAGGGGCCTTGGAGCTAAACTTAGCTTCTGGGGGAAGCCCCTAGCCCCTGGGTGTCCCAAGAGAGCAGGTGCCCACAGCTGGATGGGGGGAGGAGTGAGCCACTCTCGAGGCCCCGTCCAGGCCTATCCTTCACCTCACTCAGATTCGACCTCTTCCCCAATCACCAGAAATGAAGCTACCAAAAAAAAAAATGACTTCTAGGTGCTAATCCAGCAACCCTTAAGTTTCAGCTGCCCCACCAAGGAGGGGTCTTGAAGAAAACATACAGGGATTGGGAGCTCTGGGCCTGCTTCAATCAGAAGGAAGATCAACATGGATGGAAGACTGGAGGGTAGAATCAGAACCCAAGATATGAGTGGAGGCTCCATCCCCTCCCTTCCCCCAACCAGATCAACTTTCACTTCTCTTTCCCTCTCCCAACTAGTTTTACTAGTCACAGAGACTTCTCCATTTAGCAGTACTAGGAAGGGTAAACCAAGTCAGAGCACACATGCTAGGGACTTTTTCTCTCTGCACCTCTAGGAGAAACTACCTGGATTGAGGGGGGGGGTGGAGAGGAGCACTTGCTTATACCCCACTTAGGTACTGCTCTCTTTGTAAGGGAGGAGGAGCAGGCCGAAGAGTGAAGCAAATACACAACAGGAGTAAAGGGGGTGGGGTAGGGTGTGTGTCTGTCCTTGGCAGGTGGTGAGAAGCTTTTTTTTTTTTTAAATAAAGCACCCTTTGCGAGAGAGCACTTTCAGGAACTAGAGAGCCTTGGTAAAGCCCCTGAATTTGAATTTGTCAATGAGAGAAATAGCTCAGGTTAAATTCGAAAACTATATTCAGCACTAGTAAGGCTAGCATCTCTTTAGCCTTGGAGGAGTGAGAAGACCCCAGGAGACGGAAGTCAGGGCAAGGATTTCCAATGAAGTCAGAGTGAGACCTGGCACCATCTGCCAGCAGAAAGGATGAATTAGTACTCCAGAGCACTAGTGGGGGAAGGGGCAGAAGGAAGGCTGTGTCCCTCTCTCCCCAGAAAATATGTCTGTACTGGAGAAAACCCTCTCTTGACTCGTCTGGGGAGGCAGCCTCAGAAGATCGGGAAATGATGGGATGATGTCTAGGGGGTCTTCCTATGTCATAGGATTGGGAAGCCCAGAGAGTCTGTACCTGCCAACGTCCCAAGCCAAACTGTGCAGTCCAGGCTGAAAGGTGGATTTCTGTGTTACACAGAGAGTTGGGTTGGGGGTCAGTTTCACACACACAGTGATGAGGGACAATCTATGTCTCTAAGAACCTCTTTCTAGTCTAAGCTAGCAGGTATGATCACGGAATGTTCCCAAGCCTACCACTTGTCTTATCAAAGAAGCTGTTATTTCCAGAGTTTCTGTGCAGATGGGAAGGTTTCAGTGATCATCTGCCCCTGAGTTTAGCAATCGTCCTTCCTTCTTTTCATCTCTGGTTTCTTTCCAATCTGTTGCCTGCCACTTTCCTCACATAATGAACTGCCTTTTTCACTCTGAGATGTTTAGCTCTCGGGGTGGAAAACTGGACCGAGGCTTAGAGCCAGGGAGCCCAGCCCCTTGCCAGTACCAGCTCTGGTTGCTCTACAAAGGGGCTCCAGATGGCAGAGAATCTACAGAAAGAACACAGAGTCTTCTTTGGTCAAGCTATTTTCCCCTCTGGCTGAACTGATCTACCTGGCTGTGAACATCTTGTTTGTCCCCATTCTGGTTATAGAAATGCAACCCAGGATCAGTTTTAGGCTGCTATTCAATTCAATATGTGAACATTAATTAAGCACTTACCATATACAAGGCACTTCAGACGAAAGTTAAGGATACAAAGATAGACTACCGACCTCAGTACTAAGGAATTTACAAACTAGGTGGAGGGAAGGGCAAGATACACAAATAGCTGATAAAGGAATGTTGTGATAATAATGTGCAAAGAGGGAATTAGGCAAAGTGCTTTGAGAAATCTGAGGAGGGGAAGATCATTTTCACTGGAGGATGGTAAAAAGAGAGTAAGGAAGGCTTTACCGAGTAGGTGAAAAAGCAACCTCACTGTGCTTTGAAGGAAGGGAAGGGCTTTGATGAATAGAGATGGTGTTAGCTAAAATGGAGCTTTGAAAGGGCATGGGGACAATGGCCAAGTCTGGCTATAGAGTAGTATCAAATAAGGCTAGAAAGGCAAACACCTAGCTTGTGTAGAGCCCCGAATAACAAAATCAAGAGTTTATTATTTATTTAACTGACAGTAGGGAGTCGCTGAATTTTTTTCTTAAAGAAGTGATATATGGAGTATAGTGGAGTAAAACGATTACTTGGAGCAACAGTGTTCAGAGTGAATCACACAGATGAGTAAATTAAACCCAAAGAAGTTATTACTTGTCCAACGTCACCTAGGTAATAGCACAGCTGGATTTGAACCCAGATCTCCAGGTCAGTGTGCTTTCCAGCGGACCACACCTTCATGTGGATTAGAAAGGAATAGAGCAGGGGCCAGATCATTGAGGAGGATGCTACGTTAGTCTACAAGAGAAAAGAAGAAGGCCTGCACTGAAGTGGTTTTAGAAATGGAGAGAGGGATAGATGTGAGAAAGATTATAAGAATAAAATGTAAATTGTTGAGCTTGGCAAGGAAGGGAAGGAGATGAG